CTGGAGGACAGAAGAGGCTGTTGGATCCCCTGGAACTAGAATTACGGACAGTTGTTAGCTGCCATGTGGGTGCTGGGATTCGAACTCTGGTCTTCTGCAGGAACAGCCAGTGCTCTTAACTGCTGAGCCATCTCTCTAGCCCCTATTGTTTTTATTTTATGTGTATGAGTGTGTATTGCCTGCATGTATGTTAGTACACCCGTGTCATGCAATGCCGCGGAGGTCAGAAGAGGGCTTCGGATTTCCCGGAACTGGAGTTAAGCCACGATGTGGGTGCTGGGAATTGAACCCAGCTCCTCTGCAAGAGCTGTCAGTGCTCTTAACCGCTGAGTCATCTCTCCAGCCCCTCAATTCTTTAAAAAAAAAAAATTTTTATTTATTTATTTATTTTGTGTGTGTGTGTGTGTGGTCGTTTTGAGGCAGGGTCTCCCTGTAGCCCCAACTGACCAGGAACTCACTGTGTAGACCAGGCTGGCCTTGAACTCATAGAGATCCACCTGCCTTTGCCCCCCAAGTGCTGGGATTAAAAGCATGTGCTACCACACCCGTTTTAAATGTTTTTTTTAATGTGCTGTGAGTATATTGCCTGCATGTATGTAAGTGCACCCATGTTGTGCAATGCCTGAGGAGGTCAGAAGAGGGCATTGGATCCTATGGAACTGGAATTACTGGTGGTTGTTAGCTGCCATGTAGGTGCTAGAATGGAACAGGGTCCTCTGCAAGAGCTGCCAGTGCTCTTAACTGCTGAGCCATCTCTCCAGCCCTTCTATTCAATTCTTAATGATTTGATTTACATAAAAAGACCAAAGAATGTATTGTTCAATCAGCATGAATTCTGTAGTGACTAGGGCTTCCTCCAGTGTTGATTTTGAGCTTTATTGCTTTGTGGTCCAATAGAATGCATGGAATTATTTCAATATTTTTGTGTTTGTTGAGGTTTGTTTTGTGGCCCAGTATGTGGTTCCATGTGGGAAAAGTTCCATGGGGTGCTAAGTAGAAAGTGTATTCTTTGGTGTTTGGGTGGAATAATCGAAAGATGTCTGTCAGGTCCATTTGATGTATGGTATCATTTAATTCAGATGACTCTCTCTCTATTCCTTCTCCAACTGACCTGTCCTAATGGAGACAGTGGCGTATTGAAGTCCCCTACTATTACTGAGTTGTCAGAAATTACAATGGACTCTCATATGACCATTTGAAAATTGCCCTGTTCTGACTTTTTTCTAGTTCCCTCTCTAGAACTTGTAATGCTAATTGCTCTTGCCTTTACTTCTCCTTCACATCTCCTATTCAGGATTCAAGGACTTTCTTTTCCCCTTAGAGACAAGAGTTATGCAATTTGGGAGTCTTTTAGATAGACCCACTGAAGGGGGTCCAATTACCTCACCCTGTGTCCCTGTTCAGCATGGAAGAAGCTAGAGTGGTCTGCCTCCCAATTCCCTATTGGCAATTTGGGTAACCCCTTCAGAGGATGACATAATAAGAATAGGAGGTAAGAATTGGCTAGGCAGTTAGGGTAAAAAGACCCCAAAGAAAAGTAGCCAGTTTCTTGGCTAAAAGTCAAAATGTCTTTGGGCCTGTTAGCAACATGCTCTGTTCCAAAGGCCAAAAATGTCAAAAGTAATTGGGAGCTTGTATCTAATCCTTCAAAGATTTTAGGTTTACCTCTTCAGAGCGGGGAATATTAGAGTACCCAAAAGCCCCATAAAAAGAAAAAAGAAAAAAAGAATACCCGTTAAGAGTATTGTTCAAGTTTTATATATTAAGCAGCAGTAACTCTCCTTGTTAGTTAGCAATTTTGTTATAAACCAGGTCTTCTGACTGCTTCCATACCATCAAAAAAAAGACCAAAGAGCGTTTGGAACAGAAAATCCATTGCCTATTTTCCAATAGCCAAAATATTTGTGCTAGTCTAGAAATATTTTCTAGCCACTCTCTAGTTGGTAGTACCAAACTAAATATTTTTGTGTATTTTTAGGGGAAGGGATTTGTGTTTATTTTTTTTAAGACAGAGGTTCACATAGTCCAGGCTGGCCTCCAGGCTCATTATTCTGTCTGAGGATGACCTTTAACCCCTGACCCTCCAGCCTCCACCTCCAGAGTGTTGGAATGACAACTGTGGCTCGCATACTGAGTTTTAGGCAGTGCTGGAAATGGAAGCCAGGACTTTGTGCAGGCTAGGCAAGTGCTCTACCAACTGAGCTACATCCAAAGCCCCAAATTAAATTTTTATATCTTAAGTCAGACCTGAACTGTGAAATGCAAATTCATACTGCTGCCTTAATATTAAGTGAAGAAATCATAGGTTAAAAATCCTTGACAAACACAGTGACGGCACACAATTCCCAACAGCAGAGCTGTTGGGCTCCTTCTGATGGTTCATGGAGACAATGGCTGAGGCAGCCAGAGATAAGGATTACTTCAGAATCCAAGCCATACGCCATAGAATTTATGATCTGAAAAGAGATTATACTCTAAGGCCTTCCTCTCACATATCTTAATCCCGTAATCCCCCAGCTGCCTGTTCACATCCTTTTTTTTTGACACAGGGTGTCACTGTGTATCCTTGGTGGTACTTGAACTCACAGAGATCTGATTCTGCCTCCCCAGTGCTGGGGTTAAGGCATGAGGCACCATGCCTGACCCATTCACATCTTTTAGGCATGAAACTGTTAGCATGCACAGCTGAAGACTTTTATCAGTATAGGACTACCTTCCTGCAGCATGGCAGGTACATTTCCAAAGCTGAGGACAACAGTAGGAGACACACACATAAGTAAATAGTATAATCACGTGCATGGTGTAGAGCTGGGAGAGCAGAGCAGAAGGGCCCTCTCTGTTTACTCCAGGCACCTCCTGTCCCTACTTTGGACACTAAGTTGATATTACTCCTGTCTCTTAAGTTTATGACATGTTCAGAGTCCTTTTTAAATTCTCTATCACTACATCCTGTTGAAGGAGGAAATGATGTTACTTTAGACATAGAAAAGGAGGCCCAGAAAGGTTAAGTGCCTTTCCTAGGAGCACAGTAAATCATTGGTACCAGAACAATAAGTTAGGACCCCTATGGCAGTTAATTTCCTTGTTAGATAAGGAAATTGCATATTTCCCTGAAATCCTTCTGAGCTAAGACTCTTTTCTTCATTTAACTCATATCCTTTTAAAACCTTTATACTTGAAGCTCACTATTCTCTGGAAACTCTTTTTCCATATACTTAGCAAATATTGTGGTTATAGAAAGTAAGTAACTTATATACTCTGTGTCCTCTGTGAGCTTTGGGGACCCCTCTAGTAGTTCATGGTGTTCTCTAGGGAAGGAGCTTGGGTAATGTCTCTGGACTGTATTTCTACCTTAAGCTACAGCTCAGGAACAGATGAAAAGTTCTCCATGCATGGGACAGATTCAACCTGTGTCAGTTCAAGCAAACAATCTCAGGGCCAGCCAGAAGGAACATCCCCTGATGTGCTTAGAGGCTCTTCAGACCCAGAACTGTGAAGTCTCCTGTGACACTCAGTAAGGGTACACACCACCTCCTCAGAGCTGCCCCCAGTGATTATGTCCCACACCATGGGGGCAGAAATGGGTGATTCTGCTCCATCTGGTGACCTACTTTCATTCAGAGCTAAAGCTAATAGATACTGATCACTGGATCTTGCCATATTTAATAAGACGTTATTTTTCCTTTTACTGAATCCTCGATTCTTCTGGTTTGGTTTGGTTTGGTTTGGTTTAGTTTGGTTTAGTTTGGTTTTGAGAAGGGTCTCTCTGACCTCAGCTGGCCTTGATCTCACAGTGATCTGCCTGCTTTTGCCTCCCAAGTGCCGAGATCTGTGCCACCATGCCTGGCAATTAGATGATTCTTAACTTTTTTCAGATTGTGGGCTGCTTTAAGAATGTGATGTGGGAGCCAGGTGTGGTGGTATAGCCTATAGTCCCAGCACTTGGGAGGCAGAGGCAGGCGGATCTCTGTGAGTTCAAGGCCAACAAGAATGTGATGTCAGGGCTGGAGTGATGACTCAGTGATTAAGAGCACAGGATGCTCTCACAGAATACCTTGGTTCAATTCCCAGTAGCTAACCACCGTCCGTAATTCCAGTTCCAAGGGATCCTAGGCTGCCTTCTGACCTCCGCGGGCATTGCACGACACGGGTGCACTTACACTAACATGTAGGCAATACATTCATACACATAAAATAAAAACAATAAATAAAACATTTTTAAAAAAATGTGATGACTGGGTATAGTTTTCACGCCTTTAATGTGCCCAGGACTCTTTGAGAGTTACAGGCCAGACAGGGCTGCATAGAAGACCCTGTCTTTTTTTCTTTTTTTTTTTAATTTTATGGGTCTGGGTGTTGTGCCTGCATGTGTGTAAGTGCAATCATGTCTTGCAATGCCCACATAGGTCAGAAGAGGGTGTTGAATCCCCTAGAACTGGAGTAACAGATGGTTGTTAGTTCTGTGTGGGTGCTGGGATTCAAATCCAGGGAAGACCCTGTGTTTTGAAAATAAAAGGGGGTGGGGAGAAGAATGTGAGCGTGTTGGGAATGTAGCTTAGTGATAGAGTGCTTGCCTAGCATGCACAGGGCCTTAGGATTGAGCACCAATACCATATACAGACAAAAGGAAGAAAAAGAAAAACAGATACACAAGAGCACTTTCTCCAGAAATTGCACATACTTAGAAAGTTTTGCATGTAATTTCACAGGGATTTATGGCCCTCCCAATCAGAAGCATATCTATAGTCTGTGAATTGGAATAAATGGAATGAAAGCCTACCCTTGTGGTAACCTTTACTTATTCACTATGTTTGAAAGAAATACTCTAGTTTAACCTGTAGATAGATGTCACTGAAAATGTCTTTCATTTTGTTTCACACTAATGAAACTATATGCTTTAGATCAGAATATGTACACAACTGTGTTTCAGGAAATCGTTGTCAGAGCTTAAGTTTTGAACAGCAATCATCTAACATTGAACTTCTCCCTCTCTTTTGAAGCTTGGTAAAATGCGGCTGACAATTCCATGTCGAGCCCTTACGTGTTCTCACCTGCAGTGTTTTGATGCAACTCTTTATATTCAAATGAATGAGAAAAAACCAACCTGGGTTTGTCCTGTCTGTGATAAGAAGGCTCCATATGAACACCTTATTATTGATGGGTATGTCATTTTTAAGTTTTTCCTTGCATCTTGAAATGATCCTCTGTTACCTGAGTTTTATTACCTATCAGCTGTGAAATAAAAATCTAGAGGTAATTTTCTCTTAAGTTTTTCATTTGTAGGATTTTTATTCTAGAAATCTGTGATTCAAAGTAAGTCATTAATACTATAAGTACTTTTCATCTTTAACTTTTTAATTTTTTTTTAGTATGTGTATGTGTGTAACATGTTAAATGTGTGCTTTTCCTTCAGTACCTTCTACCTCCCATACCTTTTGCAGAATTCTAAGTACCAATAGTTCTAACAGGATATGCATGTATCTTTTACTAATGAGTCCATGTATCTATGGACATACAGACTATATTAGAGAAAGCAAGAACAAATTGTGGAATTCTGGTTCACTCAAACTCATCAAAAACTTGAACTTTGGGAGCTGAAGAGATGACTCAGCAGTTAAGAGCATGTACAGCTCTAACAGAGGGACCCAAGTTCTATTCCCAGCACCATTGTCAGGCAGCCCACAACCACCTGTACCTCCAGCTCCAGGGGATCCAACACCTCACCTTCCTCTGCACTCCATGTAAACATACACACATATACATAATTAGAAATAAAAGATAATAAAGTCATCTGGGAAATGGGCTTTAATATAAAGTAGCTTGTTTCTAGAGTCTAGGTCTGGCCTTAGTTCTGTTACATCAGATGTATTTTCCATTTTCCTACTGTCAGCTGTCAGGACTCCTAGAAAAGGACCAGCCAGCTGTGTTCTTGTCCTTAATTTCTTCCTCTTTTTTTTTTTTTCGGTCATCACCTGTTGCATCACAGTAACCAGTTACTTTAACATTCATCTGCTTTTTACTTTTTTTTATTTTTAGATTTTATGTATATGAGTGTTTTGCTGGCAGGTTTAAAAGTGTGCTACATGCATGCAATGCCCAAGAGGCCAGAAGACAGTGTAGGATCCCCTGAAATTAGAGTTACTGATGGTTGTTAGCCACCACGTGGGTGCTGGAAACAAAGCCCTGATCCTCTGCAAGAGCTGCAGTGCTTTCAACTTCTGAGTCATCTCTCCAGCCCTGATGTTTATCTTTTTTTTTTCCTTTTCTTCCAGATATCTTAGTATGATTCTGTCACTTGTTTGTCTTTTTGCCAATGAACAAGAAAGTAAATTGTAAAAAAGGAAGATATCTACTTAATATTTCTCAAAGACAGCTTATTTATAGTATTTGAGTCTGGATGGAATAAAACAGGAAATTGAACATATTTATCAATGCAGTTATAACCAAGAGTGTTAAAGAATATAAATAAGTAGCATAAATGTTTTGCAGTCAATGTTTCAGAAGCAAAATGATCACTAACTAGTAAATCTGAATTATTAGCAATATTTTTCCAACTATATATGTTATATATCTTTAGATTCTTCCCTTTCTTGTAATGTTCTCATTCTCTCTCTCTTCTCTCTCTCTCTCTCTCTCTCTCTCTCTCTCTGACTCTCTCTCTGTCTCAAATTGGAAAGCATAAAAGGCTTTTTTAATATAATTTTTTGGTTTTGCTTTTTACATAATTCTGATTGTGTGCTCTTAATAAGTTTTTGTCTTTGTTTCATTTAACATTATAACCTAGTGTTTGGGCACAGTTGTTTTTAGACATTCCCTATGAATATTCTTTAATAGCTGTATAGGGCTTAACTGTCAGTAGTACATTTGTGTGTGTGTGTGTGTTTGTGTGTGTGTGCGCGCATGTGTACGCATGTGTGTCTTCAGTTTATCAAATAAGACCTTATGAGCAATTTCAGATCTGAAACTGTGCCGGGTGTGGTGGTGCACGCCTTTAATCCTAGCACTCAGGAGGCAGAGACAGGCGGATCTCTGTGAGTTCAAGGCCAGCCTGGTCTCCATAGTGAATCCAGGACAGCTGGGGCTACAGGGAGACCCTGTCTCAAAAAGAGCCCCCCCTGAAAAAAAAAAAGGAAAAAGTATCAGTACATATAAAATTGCCACCCAGGAGTATTGGTGTGTGCTTGACTTGCTCACAGAATTTCTTTTTTAAGATTTATTTTTATTTTTTACTTAACGACTATTTGGCCTGCGTGTATGTAAGTGTACCATGTGTGTGCAGTTCTCGTGGAGACCAGAGAGTGTGTCAGATCCCTTGTAACTGGAGTCACAGAAGGTTGTGAGCTGCCATATGGGTGTTAGGAACCCATTCTGGATCCTCTGCAAGAGCAGCCAAGTGCTCTTAACTGCTGAGCCATCCCTCTAGCCCCCAGAATTTCATTTCAGTGTCTTTTTTTTTCTTGACCTCAATTTTTGTGAACATTTTTTTTTTTCTATCATTAAAATTTTCTGGGTCAGGGAGGTAGCTTGGTGGGTAAAAGTACTTGTCACCAAGCTTCACAACCCTCAGTTTGATCCCTGGGACCCCCATGGTGGTAGGAGGGAACTCTGACTCCCACAAATTCTCTTTGATTGCCGTACTCATCCTGTGGCATTTGCAAATGCATGCATGCACACACAAGCACACACACACACACACACACACACACACACACACACACTCTCTCTCTCTCTAAGTGTTTTTAAAAATCTGTAATTCTCAGTTACCTGATACTTCCTTATTTGAATGTACCACAGTTCAGGTTACTATTTTTGAAACTATTTTGCAGTAGGTTTTGAGAACAAATGTAACTTACCTGCTCTTTCTCTTTCCTCTCATTTACTATTTGTGTAAAACAAAGATCTAACTATTTTATTTTATTTTCCTCTGTGTATGAATTTTTGTATACATGTATGTAAGTGCACCTGTGACATGCAGTGTCCACAGAGGTCATAAGAGGGCATCAGTACTAGAGTTATGGATGGTTATTAGCTGCCATATGGGTGCTGGGAACTGAACCTGGGTCCTCAGCAAGAGCAGCCAGTACTCTTAACCACTAAGCCACCTCTTCATCCCCAGATACAAATATTTTAACAAATGTTTCTCATTCATCTTCATTGAAAATGTAATATCCTAAGGGTAGATTTTTTTTTCTAGGTTGTTTATGGAAATCCTAAAGTTCTGTACAGATTGTGATGAAATACAGTTTAAAGAGGATGGTTCGTGGGCACCAATGAGATCAAAAAAAGAGGTGCAGGAAGTCTCTGCCTCATACAATGGAGTTGATGGTGAGTGGTGGCTTTTCACAAGGGTGGGCAATGCTGTAGTTCAGTATTAAAATGCATTTGTTTTTAGAAACATTGACAGGATAAACAACTCAGTATTTGGTAAATTATGGATTCAATGTCTACAAATAGCAAAAGTCCTTTTAAATCAACTTTTCTGCCAGCTTTACATTTTTTCTGGTATTAGATTTCAAAGTTTTATAATCTAATAAGTCATTTTTTTAAAGTCATAGTTTTGAAACACTATCCTTTTTAAATGGTTAACATTTGGTACAGAGTAGTGAATAGTCCTTTTTCTTTGTGTGTGTGTGTGTGTGTGTGTGTGTGTGTGTGTGAGTGAGTGTGCTTGTGTTTCATTTGCAGTGTGTTTCTGCTGGAAGGAGACGGTAAGGTTTTTTTAATATTTTATTTATTATTTTTATTTTTATGTGTATGAATGTGTTGCCTGCAAGTGTGTAAGTGCATCCATGTCGTACAGTGCCTGCAGAGGTCAGAAGAGAATGTTGGATTCCCTGGAACTGGAGTTATAGATAGTTGTTAGCTGCCAAATGGGTGCTGGGAATTGAACTCAGGTCCTCTGCAAGAGCAGCCAGTGACCTTAATTGCTGAGCCATCTCTCCATCCATCTCTCCTGGCTGTGAGGTTTTTTGTTTTTAATAATAACTTTTTTTAAATTTTTTTATTTTTTAGATGAAACATTTCATTACAGCTTTAACATACTCAATAACAATTTCCAGAGCAAAGATACATCTCTTTCAAAAATGGCTATAAAATTTTTAGGTTCACAGTTGAATTAATACAGTTATACAATATTGAACTCAGTATAAACCCTGTAAGACATAAAATTGAATGAGTTTTTAACCTTTAAAAAAGATCTCCATTTCATTTTAAAATATAGTTTCTTACAGAAAGACTCATTGTTTTTGCTAATAACACTTAGATGTTGGTTCATGCATCTCTAATCTGTGAGGTTTTTAAGCTTAATGTTAATATTTCCTAGTTATGTCAGATCCTGTCTAGGTAAACACACAGTCCTGCTCTCAAACTACCTTTATTCTCTACTGTATAGTGAACATAAAAGTTACATTTTGATTGCCATAATTCAGAATCATTTTTCAAAATAATTCATCAATATCCCAAAATAAATGATAGTTTTGGTCATTTGGAGGCAGGATCTCCCTGTAGCCCCAGCTGACCTGGAACTCACTATATAGACCAGGCTGGACTTGAAACTCACAGAGATCACGTGTCTCTACCTCCTGAGTGCCAGGATTATAGGCATGTGCCACCATGCCTGGCTTAAAAATATCTTGTTTTTATTTTATGAGTATTAGTGCTTTGCCTGAATGTATGTAAGTGTACAGTGTGTACAATGTCCACAGAGGCCAAAAGAGGGCATCGGTTCCCCTGGAACTGGGGTTATAGAAGGTTAGCTGCTATGTAGATGCTGAGAACAAAACCTGGGTCCTCTGCAAGAGCAGCCAGTGCTTTTAACTGCTGCACCACCTCTCTAGCCCCTAAACTGATACATTTTTAATTTATAGTAACACTAAAGAAAGAATTAACACAAGTCTTGTTTGTTTTGTATTTTAATTATTCCGGCAGGATGCTTGAGCTCCACTTTGGAGCATCAGGTGGCTTCACACAACCAGTCCTCAAATAAAAACAAGAAAGTAGAGGTGATTGACCTCACCATAGACAGTTCATCTGATGAAGAGGAAGAAGAACCCTCTGCCAAGAGGACTTGCCCTTCCCTGTCTCCTACATCACCACTAAACAATAAAGGGTAAGTGCTGGAATCGTTCCAAAAAATTCTGTTGTGAAGTTCATTTGGTAAGCAGGGTTAAAGGCCTGTCACATAAGGAATTACGCTTGATTGTAAAAGTTAGTTTTCATTTTTCCCAGGTAAGTGGCATTCTTTTTTTTTTTTTTTCTGTCTTGCTGTAGCTCCAGCTGTCCTGGAACTCACCATGTAGACCAGGCTGGCCTTGAACTCATAGAGATCTGTCTGCCTCTGCCTCCCAAGTGCTGGGAATAAGTGGCATTCTTGAGAAGTACATTAAAAAAGTAATTTGTATATAGTACCCATCGTATCAAAAGATGATCCTGGAGCTGGAGAGATGACTGACTGGTTAAGAGCACTTGCTGCTCTTATAGAGGACCAGAATTTAGTTCCCAGAACCTACATTGGGCAGGTGCCTATAACTCCAGCTCCAAGGGATCCAATGGATCCAGTACCCTGTTCTGGACTCCATAAGCGCCCCCAACACATAGCTTTATTTTATTTACTTATTTTGTGTATTGTTTACATGTATGTAAGGGCACCCGTGTTGTCCAATGCCCAGGGAGATCAGAAGAGAGTGTTGGATCCCCTGGAACTGGAGTTAAAAACAGTTGTTAGCTGCTATGTGGGTGCTGGGAATCAAACCCAGGTCCTCTGTAAAAGCAGCCAGTGTTCTCAACCACTGAGCCATCTCTCCAGTCCCCAATTTACATAGCTGTTTTTAAAAAGATTATTCTGATACATATAGTAGCTCCAGTAGACATCAGAGTCTCCAAGAGTTTTGTTCTCATTTTATCAAGTTTTATTTTTATACTTGTTTGCTTGTTTTTTGTGTGTGCTTTAGTATGCACTCAACCGTGGCACACATGTGGACATCAGAGGATAACTTTCAGGAGTTGGTTTTCTCCTACCATGTGGGTCCCATGGATCAAACCCATTTTGCCAGGCTTGGCAGCAAGCACCTTTATCTTCTGAGCCATCTGACTGGCCCACATTTAAGCAGTCTTTGATGAAAGTTATATATGACTCTATTCCTGCATCTTCTCAATTGTTTCTTCCTTATATTTCCCCTTTCCTTTCCTACGTGGTGAGACTCCCCTTCCAACATTGTTTTGGGGTCTTTGTCCAGCATTAGCCTGGTGATAATCACTTTGTCAGGGTGAATGTCCATGTGGACAGTTGTTCCATTAGCCTTTTCCCACTGTACTCGTTCAATGGAGATGGCACATTCCTATGAACTGTCTGCCAGTCTGCTGATGGTTAATGTCCTTGTAGAACCTGAACTCCATCATCCTTTGGATAGACACAGATGGAACATTGTTCATCTGTCTCAGCTCTCGGAAAGAGAGGAAGACATAATCTTCCTCCGAATGTGAGAAGACGTACTAATTGCCTTTAGCAGTTACTACTTGGGTCAGAAGTCACAAAGGGATTGAACTTCATTTTGGTGTCTGCTCCTTCAGCAATGGCTGTTCAAGAGCTTATTGAAACACACATGGATACCCCATGTCTGATTTAGGAGTAGACATAGAAAATTTGTATTTGTAGTAAGCACCTAGGTGATTCTGAAATCTGCTCCTAACATTGACTCATCTTGCCTCTAGGTTTGTGTGACCTGACAAGGAAAGAACTCAGAGATGACTTGAGTTTTACTAAACAGTATTTCTTGTTTTGTAGACTGGTTTTCTATATTTCCTAGTAGTTTGCCATCATGCTGTACCACAGGAGGTGTGAGTTAGTAGCACGTGCTTATAACACCATGATTCATAAGGCTAAGGCAGAAAGATTGCCACTAATTTGAGGCCAACCTAGGCTACATAGTAAAATTCTTCTCAAAAAGACAGAAATAAACCGGGCGTGGTGGCGCATGCCTTTAATCCCAACACTTGGGAGGCAGAGGCAGGCAGATCTCTGTGAGTTCAAGGCCAGCCCGGTCAACATAGTGAGTTCTAAGCCAGCTGGGGCTTCAGGGAGACCCCGTCTCAAAAAGACAGAAAGAAAGAAGGAAACAAAGAAAGTCCAGGCTTGGTGATACATACCTATAATCCTAGTCCTTGAGAGGTGGAGGCAGGAGGATCAGTTCAAAGCCAGCCTCAGTTATATAGTAAGTTTTAGGCCAACCTGGCAGTATGAGAGCCCATCTCTAAAACAAAACAAAACAAAACAAAAACCCAAATGACTTAACTTTTACGTTGAAGTAGGTATTTAGGAGTAGCCTAGAGACTGGTTAACCAGGAGGATATGCTTAAGTGATACCAAATACTACAACTTATATAAAGGGCATGAACACCCTTGGATTTAGGTATCTGTAGGAGGTTGCAGAACCTGCCCCACAGACAGGGGGCAACCATATTGTCATATTTTTATGTCAAGATTAAAAGATGTTTCATAAAACCGAGTATATAAAGGCTGGGGTTAATTACCTATCTCCTCTTTAGAATATTAATAATAGTCATCTGTGAACTATGCAGTAGCTTTACTATCTAACCATATTTTTTTCTTAAGGAAAACTTTGGAATCTTTTGAAATTTAATATTTCTTCTTTGAATATTTACTTTACTGTCCCTCCCAAAATAGCTCTGTTTATTATGTTTGGAAAATTGCATTAGATGCATTAACTACTTCCTGAGTTTCCCAGTGTCTAATTGAACCCAGATACAACCCTACATATGCCAAGCCTTTCTCTGCCCACCCCCTCCCCCCGAAACCCAAGTATTTACAGCATTCTTACGTGAATAGGACCATAGTCAACACTCTGCTGTTTCTACAGCAGGGACCACGATCCTAGAAACCTAAGCATAGCATATTGTTTGCACTTGTGTGTTGTAATCGTAGAAATAGACTTCCAAATAGAATCACAAAATTGAAAGAAAAGCAATCATCCAAAAACTAGTAAGAGGCAAGCAGCACTAAAGCGTAAAAATACCTTGTTGTCTTTGCTGTGGGTGTTTAGTTCATCCAGAAGTTTCCCATGCTGCTTGGTATACATAGTGTTTGGAAGAGTAGCATTCTAGCTGCTTTATTCTCTTTTATAATCTCTTAAGCACTGACAAAGGATACACACAGCTAATGGAACATGGTACTTTTTTTAGATGTTTAAAAGGTTTAAGTTCCTATTAGATAAAATGCTTTTATAAAGCATATGAGAATGTTTTATGTTTAATATCCCATTCAGAAAAGAGTGGCATGTAGTTCTAATTAGAACTCTGTTCCCCTTGAATCGAACCTTGGTGTCTTTTGAAATATTCTATACCACTGAAATTGTGACCCAGTCCCCAAGTACTTTACATGGAGTACCAAAAAGCAAAAGGTTGGGCTGGGAAGGTGACTTGATGGAAAAAGTTCTTGCCATGTACATGTGAGGACCTGAGTTCAGATCCCAGAACCCACATAAGGCCAGATGCAGTAGCTTGCATGTCTGCAATCCCAGCTTTCCTACATGAGATGGGAACTGGAGAAGGAGAGCGCCTGGATGCTCACAGGTCAACTAACTTGACAAACAAAGTGGAGGGCAAGGACTGACACCTGACCTGTCCTCTGACCTCCATGTGTGTGCTGTGACACACGTGCCCACACACATATAAAAGTAGTCTCTGTATTCTTTCCTTTCTCTTTATTTTTTGTTTGTTTGTTTTGGTTTGGTTGGTTTTTTTTTTGTTTTTTGTTTTTTCGGTCTTTTTTTGAGCCAGGGTCTCCCTGTAGCCCCAGCCAGCTGGGAATTCACTGTCTAGACCAGGCCGGCCTTGAACTCAAATAGATCTACCTACCGAGTGCTGGGATTAAAGGTGTGCACCACCACACCCGCTTTCCTTTCTCTTTATTTTCTATAGCTTCTGTGTCTATTGACCTCTTGTATGGTTGGGATAGCATGTAATAACTTTATATGCTCTCCTACGACTGTACTAATTATTTTCTTTTCAAAATAAGTTTTCTTTCTTTTTTCTTAAGGGAGGTAAAGAACAAGATTTGATGTCCTGTCTGTCTAAACATTCCACTTTTCCTAGGTCCCTTTTTTCCAGTTACACTACTTACTTCCCTTTAGAAACTCCTCACCCCCTCTTCATTGGAACACTTCTTAGCCCCTTCTCACCACTTCATTGGACTCAACAGCCCTTTTATGCAATGTGCTGCTGGCTGAGCTGGGCATTGGGCACCAAAGTTCCCTAACCAGACCTGACTCTGAGCCAACTTGAGAGTGTTCATTCCTTGCTGTGCAGATTGCTGTGTTCCTCTATTTTTGGCTGTGTTGGCTGCTCGACAGTATCCCTAGATTTCTTACTAGCCACCCTTCTACTTCCTACTTTGGAAAGGCTGCAGTGTACTTCCCTGTGGGCACCTTTCACTGCTGTCCTGTGATGGTGGCTCAGCTGTGCGTTGCTACTGCCTTCTGGGAATGGTGATTGATATTCTAAAGACTCTGTGGGCTGAATGGTCAATACCATTGCATCTCTCTGGTTGTCCTTACTGCATAGGACACTTATTTCTTACCGTTTATTTTACTTTGCTTGTTTTTTATTTCTTTTTTTTTTTAACAAAACTTTTTAAAAATTTTTATTTATTTTATGTGTATGCATGTATTTCCTGCATGTAGGTAAGTGCACCCATGTCCAGCAACGCCCGTGGAGGTCAGAAGAGGCTGTCGGATCCCCTGGAACTGGAGTTACGGACAGTTGTTAGCTGCCATGAGGGTGCTGGGATTCGAACCCGGGTCTTCTGCAAGAACAGCCAGTGTTCCTAACCACTGAGCCATCTCTCCAGCCCCGCTTTTTTATTTCTTTAGCAGAAAGAAATTGTGAGGTACAACTTCATTTGTTAAACTTAAACTGACTTGTAATAGTTTTCTAAACATTTCCTTCCTATAGCATTTTGAGTCTTCCTCATCAAGCATCTCCTGTGTCCCGCACCCCCAGCCTTCCTGCTGTAGATACAAGCTACATTAACACCTCCCTCATCCAAGACTACAGGCACCCTTTCCACATGACACCCATGCCTTATGACTTGCAAGGTGAGTCACTGGTTCTTCACTGTTGTCACATAGGTTGATGAATTTCTTTGATTTGTGTATTCTAGACTGGGTGAGTCTAAGAACAGAGCAGAAGAGTGGGAGAGCAGAGTCTTGATCCAGGACTGAGAGGAGTAATAGACTGTGGGCATAAAAACCCACCTGCTTTTGATTGTGTCTTCCTCTGTAGCTGGCATTTTATTACCACTGGTAACATTAGTGCAGTGGTCTTTCAGCTTTGTGAGCTTTCCAGAATTCTGTGGCTTGTTTTTGGATGACTTCCAATATGTGCCTTTCAGTTTTGATGTTTATGAACATTATATTTTGTTCCCTGATTGTGACTAACACAACAGACATCGTGTGTAACTATGTTGTACTACAAGGCATGCTCTTACTGTGTAGCCCTGGCTGGCCTGAAACTCACTGTACAGGTCAGACTGACCTTAAATTTGTTGGCATCCTCCTGCCTCTGCCTCCCTTGTGCTGGGATTATGGTGATGCACCTTTTTTTTTTTTTTTCTTCACATAGGGAATTCTAGGCCAGCTAGGGCAACAGGGAGACCCAGTCTCAAAAGACCAAAGATATATATATATAATTAAATAATTAAATAAAAAGCTACTTAGGAGGAGTCAGTAAGAGCAAGGTATTCATTGCCAAAACTTGACTTTATCCTTCATAATTTAGAAGTAGAAGAGCCATAAAACAGTGAGCTTAACTCTTCATGTTTAAATACAATTTCTTATGGAATAGGGTGTAAAACCCGTGTTTGTTAAGTACTGAACTATTTGGAAAGGTGGTTTTTTTCTTTCCTTTTTTCCTTCCCCAAACTAAAATTTTTTTTTTTTTCTTCCACAGGATTAGATTTCTTTCCTTTCTTATCAGGAGACAATCAGGTATGTTATATGAAGAAATCAGTTACTTTAATTGCATATTAAAATACTTTAACGTATAAGACATAGCCAGGAGAAAGAATAAATTTCCTTGTAAAGAACTGAGTGCATGCGCCAAGTGTTGCTTTGGCTATAAGAATTTAGATGAAAAGCCGAAGTTTCATTGTTCTCCCAGCAGGGGTAAGAAGAGCGCAGACTTGATTTCTCAATGCTGTTGTTTAAAGAAGCAGGGCATTGAGCCACACGGCTGAGAGTTCTTGGCTGAATACACTCGTGTGCCACACAGTAACACTTCAGTTTAAGCCACAGATGTGAGAGAGGTCTCATCAGTCTGTGGTGGAGCTGAGGAATCTGTGTTGCCCAGGACACTGTAGCTGTTGAAAGCTCTTAGCACAGCATTAAAGCTGCCACACTGCCAGTGGTCTGAGAGCATTGCACATCCAGTTGTGTGCAGTCCATAGGACTCGATAGCGACACCAAATGACTGTGACATTTCACTGTTAAACTACATGCTGTGTCCTGCCAGTGGTGCCCTCTGCTGTGTTTACTGCAACTCTTGATTGCTTCATTTTCTCTTATGATCTTTTATGCTTGACCTGATCTCATATTACTTTATCCATCGTGACCTCCTCTCAGTGTACAAAATCTGTTGCTGAAAGGCCACATCTAGTGACTGACCTGGAAACAAAATTAAGTGACTAAGGAGCATGGAATGAGAAAGTCAATGATTATTTGCTCACCAGTCAGGCTGTCCCATTCCACCATAGCTGCAGACTTGAAGAACAAGAACAAACAAAGTGGCAGAAGTCTCATTGAAAGCTGTGAGACTAACAAGGATTGAGAAAGGCCTTACAACCAACCAAGAAGCCACTAAGGAAGTGAATAGAGAACCAGGCACAGGAGCGCATCCCTCTGGGTACCATGGTGTTCACTGCCAAAGCAAAAGGTTTGCAGGCTTGAAAAAAAGACTGGACCTACAGTATTGAATTTACTAGATCTGGGTGGTGTGAGTGATTCAAGAATGGTCCATCACATCAAGTGAGAGTGAGCAGAGTCTGCACGTGCTGTGTGAGGGCAACTGAGGAGTGCATGTAAGGAGATGAGCTGATGGACCAAAGTTATTTGCCAGAGCAGAACTTCAGTCAGACAAAAACTCCATATTCTGGAGACAGGTGCCAGAACAGATGTGCATCCATAAGGAGGCTGAGTTGGTGCTGGGACCAGGCTTTTAAAGATGGGTTGACTGTGTCTCTTGAGGGCAGTGTCCCAGGCTACATACCAAATGCCTTTGTGACCTGCAGTGAGAGCTAGGCCTTCAGGACGTCAGCTCATGTTGCCTGTGCTTGGGAGCAGCCCAAAGTCAGGGAGACCCAGCTACTCTCCAGGATACCCTCCTGAGCCTGTAGATGGGGAGCTGCTTGGGGAGTAACACACTTTGCCAGACTTGGTTTATTGGTGGTAATGCTCCCTCATATCCTTTTATTTGCACCCTTCATCCCACTTTCAAATATCATCCTGTTACAGGGGATGATTCAACCACTAGATCAGGGAAATTGATTTTTTTTTTTTGAGAATTTCATACATGAGTATATTATGCTTTTTTATTATTATTTGTATGCTTGTCTCCATAATGTTTGTGTGCATGCTCACATGCCACAGCACCTATGTGGAAGTCAGAGGGCAACTTTGTAGAGTTGGTTCTCTCCTTCCACCTTTACATAGGTTCTGGGGATCAAACTCAGGTCACCAGGCTTGTGCAGCAAGCTGAGCCATGCTGCTGGCCAATCAAGATTTAATGGCCTTTGAGACCCAGGCCTGCTGCTTGAGTAGGAACTTTGTCTAGGCTAGTGCTACAGATGAGGAGCACCGCAAAGACACAAGTGTGACTCTGGATGGGTAGTGACGCCAGCATTGTACCCAGCCTTGTTTGGATCTGGGCTGGTGTCACTGAGGACTGATGGCCCTGGTTTCAAAGGATTTTCCTAGGATGAAGAGGTTACAAAAATCAGCAAAGCTGTGGCATGGCAAATAACTGTAACCCAGGTGTGCCTGATACTGTGGAGCTCCCAGAGGCAGGTGCTGAGGAACCTGCTGGCATGGGTGCATTGGAAATGAAAAACAGGCAAAAGGAAGATGAAAAGGAGCCCAGCAAGTTTCATACTGAAGGAGTTAGCAGAAGTTTCTGCAGATATCAACAGTCTCCTTAAGACATTTCAGAACATGTACCCCAGCACATAAAAGTTTTTATTAATGGAGAGGAACATTTGTGGTGCACTTTTACAAGCAAGTCTCTAATTAGAGAAAGAAGAAGGAACCACACCATGGCATGTTTCTGAAGAGTGGCGCCTGCTCAGGAAGCACTCCAGTGGTTCATCAGGGATCCAGAAGGCGGCACTGTCGCTGCCTTAAGAGCTTCGAAGGCACAAGATGTGGAGCTGAAGACAGTGACCCGGCCATATAGGCCTAGGCTAGTGTGTATTTGTACCTTAGTTTTTAGCAAAATAAATAATAAAATCTAACAGAATATAGATATAAAGAAGGAAAATGTTTTTACACAGCCATACAGTGTATACGTGTTTTAAGTATTACTACAAAGATTCTGAAGGGGAGGGGTTTTAAGAGGCCCCACCCTCCCTGAGGGTCTATAGGCAGTTGATGGTTAGTGAGTAAGATATTTTCTTCGGTGGCACAGCCACTGGTAAGTTGCCCATTCACCCATAAACAGCCCTGAATAAACTCATTGGGCCACCAAAAAAAAGTAATAATAATACATGAAAGAAGAAGGAAACTGGTTGGCAAGAAGGGACCAGAGAGGGAAGGAGAAAATATAATCAAAATGCATTTTATACATGTATGAAAATGTCTTATTAGCCCATTATTATGTATAGTAGTATATGCTAATGAAAACAAAAAGGTTTAAAGGTGTAAATTATAACTACAGTAAGCTGTAGTTCATTGAACAAAGGAAAAGTGAGCTTTGGAGTTCTTTTTTTCCCCCCCCATAAATCTAGAGCAGCCTAAGCATAAGAGTTTTGTTTATAAAGCCCATGGTGCTTCGTGGAAATGTCCTCCCTTTGCACACACTGACTCCTTCACCTGCCCAGAGCAATCTACAGGCCCACATACCCCATTGGTGGGAAGTGCCCATGCAGGTGTAATGTTGCTTATCACTTCTACCATGTTTTCACTGTGCCTTTCCTAGTTCAGACATGCCTCCCTACGCAGACGCACTGCTCCTATTGCTCACAGGCTCAGTCAGTGCTGGGCATGCAGGTCCATGGACTGAGGGTAGCATACGTGAGCAGCTCAGGGACACTGACCAGCAGTGCAGTTTTCAGAATGAACTCTATCAGGTGCTACCTGGCTGTATCTGAGGAGTAAAGTAGCAGGTGCCCTCTTCTGCTGCTTCTGAGTACCCTAGAAATCAAATTTTCAAGGTCAACAAATTTTCATGACTCATGGGTAAAGCACTTGCCGCACAAGCCTGATGTGAGTTTCTTTCTAGAACTCATAATAAAGGTGGAAGGAGAGAATCAACTCCATAAAGTTACCCTCTAGCTTCCACATGCATGCTTGTGGTGGTTGTACCCATGTACACACGTCATACATCACACAGACATAAATAGAATTGGTTTTGTTTGATTTGGTTTTTTGTTTTGAGAAAGGGTCTCACTATGTAGCCCTGTCTGGCCTGGAACTTACTATGTAGACCAGAATGTCCTTGAACTCACAGAGATCCATCTGCTTCTGTCTCCCGAGTGCTGGAGTTAAAGAGAAATAGAACTTTAAAAATTTCATGCACTGTAAACTAAAACAAGGAAGCTATTTTTAAAAAGTTACTCCAGTTTCAAATGCCAAAAATACTTTATCAAGGACCTTGCTGTTCGCAGAATGTCATACTAAGCATTTGAGAAACTGCAGATACTCAGGGTATGTTAAATTCAGACTTGTCTGTGGAGAATGATAACCAGTATGTTTTGTCTCTGGTCTCCCCCTAGCATTACAACACCTCGCTGCTCGCTGCAGCAGCAGCAGCAGTGTCGGATGATCAAGACCTCCTGCACTCGTCCCGGTTTTTCCCATATACCTCCTCACAGATGTTTCTCGATCAGTTAAGTGCAGGAGGAAGCACTTCTCTGCCAACCACCAATGGAAGCAGTAGTGGCAGCAACAGCAGCCTTGTGTCTTCCAACAGCCTGAGGGAAAGCCATAGCCACGGCGTGGCCAGCAGGAGCAGCGCAGACACAGCGTCCATCTTTGGCATCATGCCAGACATTATATCATTGGACTGACTCCCTTGCCCTGCTGTACTCACCCCAGCCCAGAGTAAATGAACTTGGCCGAAGAAGAGAACTTTGTGCTGTTTTACCTTATTCTGTTTCGAGAAGTACACAAGCGTGTGGTTTTTTTTTTTTTTTTTTTTTCCTTTTTTTAGGGAAAAAAAAATTAAAAGAAATGTACAGAGAACAAAACTATATTTTCAGTTTTACTTTTGTATATAAATCTAAGACTGCCTGTCTGATAAAACACTTGTTTAAAAAAAAAAAAAAAAAAAAAAAGAAAAAAAAAAAAAAAAAAACAAAAAAAAACACCTTCAGTACATTTTCCTGGATTCTGAAGATTTTGTTTTCGTCATTTGTCCTATGGTTTTGGTTTTATCTTACTTTAATGGCATTATTTTATTTGCAATAACAAATGGAATTGCATGTATGGTTTTAAATTGTGGGCTTTGTTGTGGGGAGGGGGTCAAGGGTTGTTTTGATTTCCATTTTTTAAAAAAGACAGACTTGGGTTCTGTTTGTGTGTACGCATATTTTACCAGCCTTAAGTTATGAATCTCATGTGTCCCGCTGCATTCCCTATGTGTCCTTGGGACACAGCTCGTGGGTGGGTGTGTTCAGTGTGTGTGCCTGTATGTATGTTCTATCACCACTGCCCCCTCTCCGCCTGAGTTTGCATTCAGTTAATATATCAGTTGCCTGCTTCTTTCACAGTGCTTCAAAGGTCTTGAACTCATGTATGAGCATCTTTATCAACTCTCCTGGATGCATGTTCTCCATCACAGCTTCTCTGTGATTTGCTAGATACCCCTTAAGAGTGTGTCTCCCAGAAGTGTTAGAGGAAAGCTGTCTGGGGAGCAGCTGGTCAGCAGGCCTTCTGAATCTGGATTGCCAGTATTTTGTATTTAAGTCAAGGCTGTGAGTACCTGCTCTTGTGGCCACAGGGTAACGAGTTTCCTTTGAAACTCTTCATACCAAAGGAGGATACGGAAGCAGTCCCGGAAGCCCTGTTGTGTCATGCAGCTGACACAGGAAAAATTGCATCACCTCAAAAAGATAAAAGAATTACTCCAAACGTAATGCTGTTTGGAAAATGCAGTGCAGCCCCTGTCAGATAGATGTGGAGCTGTAGAAATCTATTTGATAATCAGTTGAAACACAAAAAATATGTTTGGACTTAATTTTTTCAGGTTCTTAGTGTGTATGCATCTTAGCCCTGTTGAGTTTTTTTCTCCCCTTGGCCTTTAATGACAAGCATGATATAGGAAGTCATTTTTTAAAATTCAAGAATCAGTCGGTCCTATCTACTCTTACTAACAGAACATGTAAATATATCAAAACTGTTCTTCAGGAGATGACTAGGGTCAGAAGGAAGGGAAAGAGCTTCTATTCAGAAGCTTCATCAGAGAAGGCACGTGTTCTCTGGGGTGGACAATAGATGGGCCTAACAGGAGAAAAGGGGTAAGTGGTCACCAGTGTCCAGAGTGGGTTTTTATGTTACAATCATTAATGTTCTCAGAGTTGATAAAGGACCACCTTTGTGCATAAACCTGTTGTAAAACCTTTCACCCATACCAGAAGGACCTATTTTAATCCAGGTATATTCCAAGATGGCTATATCTTCTGTTGTATAATAAATTAAGTGGTTCACATGACAGTGTGATATCTAAAAACAGTAAGTTTTTTTTCATAGCATCTCTCTGCTACTAAATTGTCGACTTGAATTTTGAAAAAAGTTGGTGTTGATATGTATATGTGTGTGTGTATATATGTATTTATAAACAAGTACGTGTGAGTAACAAGCGAGTTATATTGTCTTCCCCTGTGCATGTGTATTCCACACAGAAATGGCTGAATTATAGTCACAGAACAATTTGCAATAAAACAAGGCATTCACTGTCAGTTCAAACTAGAAATAGTTATGTTTTTAAGATTTCTCTTTGCCATATTGATTTAGGCTAATTTCAGGTAGCGCTGTAATTTGTGTCTAAATTAGGGCTAAGGTCGAGATTACTAAAATTGTAGGTATTGTTTCTGTTAACATTGCAATAGGAAACATTTCTGCTAATTGGATAGTTTATTCTAGGGTGGTGGGCTTTTTTGTTGGGTTGGGTTTGTTTTTTTTTTTTTTTTCCTGTTATTATTGTTCATAGTCTCAGAATTCTGATCAATCGTTCTGTGTATGATGCTGAATTACAAACTCTTGGAATGATCCAGTTGAAAGCCTGGCCCTCTGTTTTCTTCAGCCCAGTTTCAGAGGGGCCTGCTTTCCATCTGTGTCCTGCATTGTACCAACCTAAGGGAAAAGTAGGTAATAGGGTCAGTGTCTGTCCAGTGCTTTGGTCATGTCCCTAGGGGAGAACTGACTGCTCAGTTGTCTTCTCATTTTAGTTCATTCCACTTTGTGAGGAGTTCACTTCTCTAGTTGTTGACTTTCTAAAGTGTTGCATTAAGTAATAGTTACCAAACTCTGTTGACCTGTGGTCAGCATCAGACGTCTCGATCTTTAATAGTTATTAGTGGAGCCTTGCACTACATCTTTATTTCCTAAGTTGAAAAGAAACCGTGCATGGTCACTTTGTCTCTTACTTTTTTCCTCAGCCCACCCTCACTCCCCAGCCCTACCAGCATGGTTGTGCTGCACAGGTAGCATTCTTGCATCTTTGAGCACGTTGTCAGCAGTCCCTGCATCGGTCTTCACCAGTGTGCACACCTGTGTTCTGTACAGTACTGTATGTGTGCCCATGTGTGTTAGATGCACACATCACTGATAAAATTGCTGTTGGACTAGCAGGGTGGAGGGGGCTTTTAATATGTGGGCATTATTGGACACATCTTTTTAGAAAAAAATCTGAAACCTAACCATGCCATACTTGGTTGACTAATTTATTTTGAGCATTAAAGTTTTCCTATTACTAGTTTAGATATTATCGTACTTCTACATTACTGATTTAAAAATTCACTTAAGTTTCTGAAAAATGTGTTGCTGGGTTTTCTTTTTGGGTAGACTTTCCTTTGAGACAAGTGTGAATGAAAATATATCCCATTGTAAATGAATAAATGTAGAAAGAACATTGTTTTTAAAGCAGTTTTGATTTTAAATACATAAAACTTTCAGGATCTTCAGGACTTTTAAAAGCACATTCAAATTTATTTTAGTAAGAGTTTTGTTTTATGGATATATGTTGAATTCTGTTTTGTTTTTTAATTAAACAGAAAACTTAGATTTCAGAAAGAGAGAGGGAGGCTAGCTGGTGGTCCCAGAGTGTGCTGCTGCTGTTTAATTAACAGAAGAGAAAATGTATATAAACAGATAAAAGCTACCATTAATTCCATGAACTTAAATCTGTGATTCATTGCCTTAAAACTTTCTCTCAGAATCTCTACACCGCATGCCAAACCAGTAAAATGGCTTCAAAATGTATAGTAGACCAATGTCGGTTTGTATAAAAGTACCAAGTGAAAATATTTATTACATGCATTGGAAAAAAAATTGTTTACCTATTGAATGTTACCTGTTTATGTAGAGCTCTTTAGATGTAATAAAAGCCTTCAGTTAATTTGTCTTCTGTAAAATAATCCTACTGGGTCTACAAGGGGACGGACCCAACAAGAGCAGGCCTGTGCCATGTGATTCCAGGGCCCCCTTTCATCCACAGGTTTCAAAGCATGATAAGTAACTTAACACTTTGAGACATGCTTTGAGGTAAGTAAGGAATACAGCCATCATTTCCTTATGAAACAAGGCTGGCCCTGTAGTGAAGCAAAGCATCTGCTAGGTTTGAAACATACTGTGTATATATATCTGCTGTTTGAATGCCAGGGGCCCTTGGCCCTTTTTTATGAGCAGCTCCAGGTGCTAGGTAAGCCCATTGGAATTTGAGGAATGTACCCAGAGGCTGGACCCTGGTGCTGAAAAGCCTCTCCTGGGGTAGCTGTGTAAATCAGACTTTAGGAGCTTAATGCAAAGCCACCTGCCACCCTTGATTAGGGGTGACGGGAAGAGCAGCCCACCATTTTGCTGACCACCCCATGCCAGCCAGATGTTCTTGGCAAACTGCATTTCAGATTCCAGGTAGGCAAATGAGAGTCATAAAAAATGCTGTAAAGCCATCCTGGGAGACTGGAGATTAGCCTGTTTGGTAGAGTGCTTACTTGGCATGTATGAAGCCCTAGGTTCAATCCCCAGCATGGAATAAATGGCATGGTGGTGCATACCTATCCCAACACTCAGGAGGTAGAGGTGGGAGGATCAGAAGTTCAAGGTCATCTTCCACAAGTTTGAGGCAAATTTAAGATGCATGTCCTGTCTCAGACAGGGGGTGGAGGGTGGGGGGGT